CGCGATTTCTCCCAAAACACTGAACGAAATGAGATGAACTTCAGCCGAGAGTTAATGGTCATTTATACCTATAATTTGACGAAATTTTAGTTTTTTCAATACAATTTTAGTCCTATAATTACCCAATTTTCTATAAGTTCATCACCAGGTGAACATGCACACATTCACACGGGTAGTTAAACTTCGTATTTTCATACTTCAGATTATTCTGCACTGTTTTCAATGGAAGTGGATGAATACAAAATGATAAGGATTACGAGACTCTCATTTGGAATTCGAAATTTCCAAAAATTTCAGTGCAACTTCAATTAATCAATCAAGAGATCGACATCATGCAAGGTATATTATCTCATGATTTCCGGATTGGAATTCAAACGTGATGACAATACTAGTGAAGTTCCAAAAATTTGCGTCATGATTATAAACATAGATTCATGAACATTTTATTTTTACAAACAGTTTGAGGATACTTATAGGATACTTAGATTCAATTATCTAATGTGCTATTATCAGTGAGTTATACGAGTAAAAGAAATTAAAGAATAGGAAAGAGCCAGGCTAATTTGTTTTCGAGTTCGACGGTGCTTAAAGAGACTATCATATATAAGAAAAAGAGGAAATTTTAGCAGAAGCTCCTCTATGAAATTTCGTCAGCTCCACAAACGATTGACCAGATATTCTTGGAAAATTCTGCACAAATTGATCCCAATATTGTTGAGATAAAAATGTGAACAGCAAGCATCCGCGATCCGGTTCTGACTGATTCAAAATCACATAAGATTATTTTACAAATTTAAACATTCTTGATAGTTACCATCCAATTTGATATGGGAATAATTGGATGATTTTCGAGCTCACATCAAGCTGGCAGGTGTGCAATACCTCATCTCTACGATGGTCCCTAGACCTCATTGTCAGAGCAACTCTATAAACAAATTAACAATCTTTTTTTATTTCTAAAAAAATGTATATGAAACATTTCACTAAATGGTATATATAGGTAACGGTATCCAATACTTGTACCCAGACATCGAGAAAAATTTAAAATTGTCTGAAAAAATTTATTAGGTTGAAGGAAATGAGTGAGAAACAGGCCCAGTTACTTGTAGATTGTGTACGTGTATTTTAAATAGAATCAAATCAATTGTAACATGTAGTTAGCATGTACTCAACAACATATCGTGTAGATTTGAATCTTCAGTCCATGATGATATTTTCGGCATCGATAAGTGACTACGGGAGTATGGTATGCTTCAACTCTGAAGTTTTGTTATGCAATTGAGGTAAAAGACCGTAGTTTTTAAAAAATTTGCACCAAAAATTGTTTTGAAATTCTTGTAACTATAAATTCTTGGGAACATAATGAAGTGGAATAAAAAAATTTGAGCCCAAAATGATCTATCACGCGGTGCGACATTCAATGTAGTATTAGAAGGAATAAAAAAAAGTCGGAAGTCATGTTGCCCTACAATATTTGACTGAATGAATAGGATTACGAACGCATTGTGCTTCAAATAAAAACAAAAGCTTCAATTCCATACGAGAATATTAATAGGAGCGTATTACGTTCGGGCTTTGAATCGCAATTAAATCATTTGTTTTGGACAGATTTATTCCTGTTGATAGACTTGGTAATATTCGAGTTGATAGATTCCAACAGTTTCTTTCGTCATCATAAATCTCGCCAAAGCTTGTCGACGAAAAGTATAAAACCGAGAAATTAACGACAAATTCAGAAACCATGTAGAACCATATGATGTTTAGTACTACAGTGACTTCGATCAGGTTTATCCAGTTTTTTTATGAATATTTGAAGCTTAAAAGAAAGATGAACATTTTCATCGGATTTCAGGCTTCCTTTAGCTACCGAAAACGGTAGTGAAAAAAAAATAGAAGGCACAAAACGTGATCTGGCAATCTCATTTAATGTTATAAGGGGTAGCGGCTGTGTTAGAAAATATATCTTTTGCTTGCACATGGAGTCCAAACTTTTTGAAAACACTGACTCTTTTTTTTTGACAAGAATATTACATCTCAAAACAGTTACTAATGGTCACTCCGAGGATTTACTTATTTGGTTCCTTTAAACCTATGATTCGTTAGTATCCATATATTATAAAAAAAATTGTCATAAGATATTACAATACCTTAAGGTCTTCTTCTAAATTTATTCATCTGACTCAGAGAAGAGGGTATTCACCAGAAACTAAATGCCATCTCGTTATTGAATGGGAACAAAATGCATGTAATATGATATCTTCACATATCCATCGACTGCCATCCTCATCAGTCCTAACACTAGTTTAACACTTCACAAATGTTGAACGAGACTCACATAAAATAACATTACCGAGGCTGACAACGAGGGTGATGTAGATTTTTGAGTAAAGAGTCGTCATCATTAGGATCCATGAGCACAGATGTTATCGAGCTGTCGAGAGAAGCATAAGCAGGGAGCCTGAGTGTCGAGAGGAGCATGAACCATAACGCACCGGTTCTAACGTTTTTATGAAGACATCCTATTGAAAAAAATTCAATACCTCTCATAATTATAAAATCTCTTTGAATGCAATGTAGGAAAGAAATTTATAAAATTAAAATGTACCCTTTCTCCGTTGTCACAAGTTTAGGTTGACGTCAGTTAATCAATTGGCTGCTGAATGTTGTAACGAGATTTTCTCGTTACTAGTGATTATCACTAGGATAGTCACTAGGTAAGGGAAGCGACATCTAACGCCGGCTGAAATAGCCGAGC